GCTGTAATAGTATGAATCTTTGAATATTCAGTGTTAATAAAGTCAGATACATTTCAAACGTATTCCTAATACGTGTCTGTTGAAGTTATGTCATTGCTTTGGAAGTAGGGAAGGTAGCCAGTTTTATCCCCATGCCAAAAAGCAGCAGCCACCCTCCCATTGCCATCCTCTGCCCTATAACAACTTTGGATAAATTACAGCATTGGAGTTTTTTTCCCTGTTCTTGTTATGGACTGATTGCTATTACCTTAGGTGTAAACTGGATTGTGTAACTTCCTGTATCTGTTATAATGTACGGATAGATTTTATACATGATTTTTTTTTTTTTCCATTTACAAAAATCCAATTGAAAATGAGCTGCTTGTCTTCGTTCCTCCGCGTGCGCCATGAGCGGTACCCGCTGCTTGGCAGCTGCCCGGGAAGCTGGGATTTTCCATTGCAATCGCTCCTCTTGCTGGCTGAAGGATTTCCTCTAATCCACTGTGGCCAGCCGAAGCTTACAGCAAAAATGTCCTAGTTTTTCCTCTTGAATTTGTTGAGTCTTTACTCACAGCTTACGAACCCAGTGGATCCCAAGGATGTAACTGTCCATGTCTTAGCAGTGCATCCTCCTGAGCTGTGTGACAGAAGGTCCTGGTAGCACGGTGGGTTGTGCTGCTGGTTCTCCAACACAAACAAGCAAAGCTGGTTGCAGATTCCCTGTGTCCCATGGTGTGTTATTTCTGCCCTTCTCCCCATCCTCTGTCTGAATTAAATGCTGCCTTCTGAGCAGCCCAGGCCAGTTCTCTAAACTAGACCGGTGAAATTCCTTGGCTGTTGTTGGAAATAACAGATGCACGTTTGAGTGTGCCTGCTTTCTCTGCCAAAAATGTCCACTGCAATAACCTGATAAATGACTTCTTTTTTTTTTTTTCTTTTTGCTAGATGTGGAAACCAAATTGTACTCAAGTGCTGGCAAAACTGCACCAAAGCAGCAGCCCACACCTTAGTTCTCTAAACCAGGTCTAAGTCTGTGAGTGCTGGCAAGCCAAGGCCACCTTCTGGGTCTGCTGTGAGGTGTGGTGAGCTTGTCCTGCTTCTGTTGACAGAAAAACCTCCTCATCTCTCCAAATGAGAAAGTGTGATAGTTACTCTAGAGCAGTCCTGCCTTGTGCATCTGTCTCATTGGATTTCACATTTCAAACTGTTTCTAGAGACAAGATTCGCTTAGTTAGGCTTTTATACATCAATGTGAACAAAAATCCTTTCAGGCCAGAGTGGAAGGAAAAACACTGATCATAGCTGTTTGTTCATACTCCTGTCCCTGCTCTTTCAAGTCAGTATTTTTACAGAAGTATTTGTGGTTTCCCAAGACAGACATCCCTGTAGGAAGTAAAATACTTGAACTTGTATATATTCCAGGTTAAATAAGTCCCTCTATAACTACATTCCATCATATGGTGAGAGCTTGTGGCCTAGGATGCTGTGGAAAGGTGAAGATAAAATTTTTACCCTAGGGGAAAGCTGTGCTTAGGTATATTCTAGGCAGTATGTGGACTGTAAAAAGGTTACTTTTTAATTAGAAAAATGGAAATGGGGTAAGAAAAGAATGGAAAATGTGAATGATCTAATTTATCAAATAATTGCATTTGTCTACTGTAAAATGTGAAGTTTGCAGTGTTGATGGTAACGTCTGTAGTTAATTTCTAAATATTTCTCACTTAAAGTTTATTTGTGTGACACACAAATTGTTGGGCTAAAAATGGCTGCTATGAGTATCTGCTTTAAAACAGTCATTTGAAGTTTCAGATTAAATATATCAGTGAGGTATTTCTCCATAGTCCTTGGAAGAAGGGAGAGAGGGACAGTGAAGGGAGGATGTGATCCTGTAGTGTGCTTTGCCAAAGCACAAGACTTTTGCATTTTCACATTGGAGATTATTAAGGAGTTCTGGCATTTCCCATTTAATTTGCAACCTTATGTTAAGAAAATATTAGCTTTTTTAGTTCTGTAATTAGAAATAAAACTCTCGTGTGTTTGGATTGGCTTCTCATTGCACTACTATTGCAAAATTGGTCTAAAAGGGCATTTTTTTTCTTTTGTTTTTAATTATTATTTCAGTGAACTAAGCGTTATCACACAATGAAATCACTGTAAGCCAGGTCACCGTGTGGAAAGTTAACACGAGGCTCTTTTGTAATCAGCATTGAGTCATGTCTGGACATTCAGTGCCTGGTTTTGAACAGTACCAAGTGTCCCAACCTCTCTTTTTTTAAAAAGTGAGGTGAGTGCACTGTGCTTGGAACTTGCTGGGCTTGGCTTTAGTCACTGTGCCGCTTGGTATATAAAATAGGGCAGTTTTTGTTGCCCCCTCCTCTCTTTTAATTTCCTTTTGTCCTTCTTTTATGAAGTATTTAGAAATAAGTGTCTGAGGAAATTGTTAAAGACTAAATAGTAAAGGGTTACAACACAAGGAATTTAGGCACTGTGTATCTGCACCAGGTTAAGAAACCCATTTCTTGTAAGTTCTGGTGTTGCTTACTGACGTTGGTCTCTGCTGTGCCTCATGTTCATCCTACCTGCTCCCAGTTAACGTCAAGGACTGGCTGGAACTCAGATGTCCAGAAACAATAGGAAGCTGGTGAATATTCCTTTCTCTGTTTAAAAGATGAGCTCAAGCACTGGCAAAGACATTTGTTCAACTTAGCCTGCTGCAACTCAACAATCCTTAAACTTTTCCAGCCTGTCTTTGTAAACCAAAACCCAACCAACCCTCTGTACTGTTTCTCACCTGAGCACTGGGTCCGTTTCTACTGGCAGCACATTCTGCCATAAATAATTTTCCCTGAGAATAAATTAATCTGTGTCCTGAAAAAAAGATGCACCAATCTACCTGAAATGCAGGCAGTTTGTGCAGGTAGGTTACTTTATGGAGGTGGAGATGTGGGTGACAGTGCATGCAGGCACAGGAGCAGGGTCTGGCTGCAAAGTGGCTGGAGGGTTTTCTTCTCATCCACCTTCGAGGGGCTGGAATTGGAGCAGCTGTAGCTGCTGCTCAATAGCTCTGGCTTTGGGCACGGTCAGAGGGGGGGGATGCAGGAACAGGTGCGGGGAAGCCCGGGTAGGGATGGAGGATTGTCCGAGGGAGAACCGGGAGGGGATGTCCGGGGGGATGATGCGTGGATGGTTCCTGGGGAGTGACTGGGTGGGTAGGGGTGATGGTGCCCGGGGGGTGATGGTGCCCGGGGGGTGATGCTGCCCGGGGAGTGATGCT